GCTCTTCCTTCAGTGTCAGTTCTGCACAGGCCGGCAGCGCGCAAAGAGTAAACACCCTCTTGCTCGGTTCGGCTTCTGCCGCTCTGGCGAGCCCCGCCGTCACACCCCCTTCTGGAGCCCGCCCGGCTCCTGCTCCAGCCCTCCAGCAGCGTCGCTCCCTCTTTGCTTGCAACCGCGCCTTGCCTTCTCTCTCCACATGGCACGCCCACTCCTCTGGCAGCCGGGATCGGCACAGTCGCCACGCCCCCTGCTTCTCGCGGCCATGTCATGCTGCCTCCGCTTGGCGCCCAGGCCACGCCCCTTCGTGTGCGTTCGCCGTGCGTCTTCCTGTGGCGCTAACCGCACCGCTGCCCCCTTTGCAACAGCCGGGCGCGCTGGTTTCTCTGTTACACCTCCCCCCCTCCCCTCCCCTGTTGCAATTTTTGGATCCAGCTAAGAGTTACCCTCTTATGTAACTGACCTTGTTGTGTTTTCCTGCAGCTTCGTTTGTGTTACTTTTCACACAACCCTACGATACCTGCTGGTGTGGCCATCCTCTGCCCCTTCTTACATGCGCTGCCAACTTTCAAACATCATTTTGCTCTGCAGCAGTTATCACGTAGTGTTATACCTAGGGCAATACCTTGAAAAGCTTCAACTGCCAAGTTGTGAATATTAAACCTCTAGTAAAGGGATAGGACATTTGCCACCCTCCCATGTCCAGGTGGCAACTTTAGTTGGCAGGCACCTTCCTTTGCCTTGTGCAGCCCGATCTGAAGCACATTTACTCAGGAGTAAGTCCTCCCCAGTATGGTGGGACTTCCATACTTTACAACCTGACCCTTGCGCCTACTAATACTACAGTTTGATAACTGCAATCAGTCCCCTCAAAGGGACTGATATTTTAAGCAGCCAGGTGAAAGGCTGTAAGTCTAGCTTCTGAGTTTGGGCCCTCCAGGCAGGCTTCAGCTGTGGCATCTTTCATTTTAGAAATTCTGCCCTGGATGCAGAAGAAATTGGTTTAGGGGAATGGGCAGCAGCAAAGCATAGCACTGAAAGTGTAGAATTGTATCTGCTTATTCCCAAGCCTTGTCCCCCACCCCCCAAACTGCCATTGGTTGCCCCAGATGCCATGTCTTTATACCTCTTTGACGTCTCAAATTGTCCAGGGGGCAGCAGATGACACCTGTCAGTGGACTGGATTTGAGCCTCCAGTTGCTGATCCCTAGTCTAAGGTAATCGTCCTGGATGCCAGTTCAGGCTTCCAATTATAGTGGGTGAAGGAGTCATTCCAGAGCTAGGAAGCAGCGTTGCTCATTTGTTGCTGCAACCTGCTTTCTCCCTTCTTACTGGCCATCATCACTGTAATGGGAAAGGTTGCAGTCTTGTTGAATACGGTGCCTGACTCCAGTGCATGCCCATGTTTCTGTTTTTCACACGGGCCACCACACCCCCCGCTAATTGGCTCTCACCTCCCTGTCCCATGAAACCTGTAGCGCAGACGTGGATTTTATCTCGATTCCGCTGTGTGTGAGCCGCACCCCCTGTGAGTCATATCCCATTCCTCGAGACGTGTGATGCAACTGCTCTCTTTCTCACTCCACATTGTTCAGTGGCATTCAGCATACCTTGTTACCATCCCTGGGAGGTAGTAGACCCTGTCCTTCCTTTGCACGCTCTGCCATTTCTTTATGCTCCCTCCTGATATGCTGGCTGTGGCTCAGGCTCCCAAGTCACGGTTGCTTGATTGCCTAGGCCTAGGGCATAGAAGAATCCTGTACAGGAGACCAGGAAGGGAAGTTTTCAAAAGTTGGTTGCCTACCCTTTGAGGACGTGCACAAACTAGTACAGGCAGATAAATTAGGGGTGAAATCGGGGGCTGAGTGTTGCATTTTGCAGATATAGACCCACTCTTCCTGAGAAGCTAGTTTTTGACATGCAGGGAATTGTATTTTTCTTGGAGGAAACTGCCTTTCCCCCCTGCTTGCACCAGTGTAGCCAGCTGGTGTTGGGGATATCTCATGACTAAATTTTCCTCCAAGAAAAATAAAATTCCCTGCATGTCAAAAACTAGCTTCTCAGGAAGAGTTTTACCACGGTGCGGGGAGAGGATTTTTTCCCCTTCCTATAGTGGGGCATTCATGCTTGATATAATCTTACCTGCAGGTCCAGAGAAGAAGACAGTCCAAGGAAAGGTGCAACATCTGGTTACATGGTGTGTGTAGATCTGTTCTGTCTTGTATGCCTACTGCTGTCGCCTTTCAATGCTCCTCTCTGCACTCTTGTGTGGCCGTCCTAACCATTAAGTGCTGGACATTCCACTGGGCATGTTGTCTCTATGGCTTTTGTTTTCCTCTTTAGTGAAATGGGCCGGCAATGAACATATTGGCCTGAACCTGAGAGATTAATTAAAAGTGGAGTTCTATGCAGAGTTACTCTAGGGTAGGCTATGCTCCTTGATTTCAGTGGGTTTAACTGGAGTTAACACTGGATAGGATTGGACTGCTAGGAAATGCTTACTGAAGTTTTTCTCTTTGGGGCTGTCATATGCTGCTCTGCCCATGTACCAGAGTATCTGTGTATTGCTCTTGCTGGCTGATAACTCGTGCTGTGGACTAGGAGAATAAGTCTGAGTCACTTTCAAAGTGGCTAGTACCTTTGCTCCAAAGAAAAATGCTTCAGACATACCCCTCCCCTGCCCGTTACTTCTGTTTTCCCGAGTTTGCACTAAAACTCTCTTGTATATGAGAAGTACTTGGGGTTTAAACCTAGTCAATTAAGAATGCTCGAGGTACACACATAATGCACAATTTGTGTGGTGGGACCATTGTGGTAGTGCACTCACCATGATTTGTTCAGATATACAAAGCTATCTTTGGGCCTGATTTCAGCAGAAATGAATTTGTTTGCAGCAGAAGCCAGCTGTGCACAGCACCGATTGGTTCATTCTTGTATCGTCACAAAAACTACCACACTTTCTGGATCAGTTTTTGTACTTTAGAAATTGAGGTTTTTTGTAAGGGCTGTCAAATGAACTTCTGAATGGACAAAGTACAAGTTGCTCTTTAAAATAAAATAAAAGGACTGTCCATCAGAAGCATGTGAGGAGAGAGCAGAACTGAGCAGTAAATCAGCATTAACTTGAGAGGTGAATATGTCTGCCATTTGTAGCGCAGAGGGAATTGTCATGTGGGGAATAAAAAACTGCTCAACTTCTGCTTTTGGGCCCATCCGCACCCCCCCCCCCCTGCACGTGCCTTGTGCAAAGTACTCTATCCTGTTCTCCCCTCCTTGGTAAGATCAGCTTCCCCCGTAGCGCAGGCCTGTTGCTATGATGATGAAGAAGAGGGGAGGAGGGATTGGAAGGCATTGTAAAGGTGACTTCCAAGTGTGCCAGGCTACTATTGCCTTCCAGAAAGAGATGTAAAAATGAGGAATAAAATGGGCCCCTTCAGGTTGTGCTTTGCATGCATCCAGTTCTGCAGTCTTTGCTCTCTTTCCCCCTCCTTGTTGCACCCTTATGCCCTTCGCTTCTGCCTCTGGGCAAGAATGCCACACCCCCGTGTAACAATCGCCTCCCTGCCGCTTTGCAGGAATATGCTGAGGATATCAGATCTAAGTTTACAAGCTGCAGGCTTGCCTTCTAAGAAAGCTGCCAGAGCTCTAGCTCCTCCCCCCTTCCTCCGGTCTCTGATCTGTTAACCCGTTAATGTGCCGCCCAGCCGGCCACCCTTTGCTCCTCTTCAGTACTGAGGCTAGGAAAGCACAGGCAGAAGTGGGTGTGATCTGAGTTCTAATTAATCCAGAGGCTGGTCAGTTTAATTGAAGTCTGTAGGGCCAGATGCTATCATTCCAAGACCTTTGGCATAATAACGTTGTGTGTGATGCTTCACATATTCTTTCAGTAGATATTGAGTGAAAGCTGAGAAGTACACTTATCTGTAGCTAAGCCCCATTGGACGCAGTAGGACTTTGTTTATATATTTCCCCCCATAGGACACAGTAGGACTTCTTGTTTTTGTTGTTGCCATCAAGTCACAGCTGATTTATGGCGACCACAGTAGGATTTTCAAGGCACAAGATGTTCAGAGGTGGCTTGCTGTTGCCTGCCTCTAAGTCACCGAAGGTGCCGACCCTGCTTAGCTTCTGAGATCTGACAAGATTGGGCTATCCAGGCCCGGTACAGCAGGACTTAGTTCCAAGCAAATGTGCATCAGATTGTCTTGTATGTTTGTGGTGATGTACACACTTACTCAGAAGTCTTATTGCCCTCTGTTGCATTGAGAAGTCTGATGTCTTCAGTCAGTGTGTACTAGGGTTGCCAAGTATAGCTTACCTCTGCAGCGGGGGACTCCCAAGTGGATCCTGGAGCGCGCGTGCAAAGCGCGCGCGCCACACACACATCACTTCCTGGTGATGTGCATGCCGGGGTGGGGTTCCCCCCGGGGCCCGATTCCGCGGCGGCGGAAATCGATCCTCCAAAG